GGGTGACAGGGTAAGACCCCCAACACAAAAAAATAAAAAGAAGTGCATTTCAGTTTTTTTCCCTTCTCTTTCTTTTCATTTTTTTTTTTTTTTCTTTGTCTTTCTAATTTTAGAGACAGGGTCTCCTTATATTGGCAAGACTGGACTCAAACTCCCTGGCCCAAGTGATCCTCCCATCTCGCATTCCCAAGTGGCCAGCATTACAGGTGCACATCATTGTGTCCTGCTCTTCACCCTCTGTAATTACTGCTTGGCAGCACAGAGCTTCTATTTGGTCCCCTGAAGGGTGGCAATGAGCGAATCTGATAGCTAGTTCCTGTCCTACAATCTGGGAACCTTTCTTTTTTCTTTCGAGACGGAGTGTTGTTGAGTGCAATGGCACGGATCCCAGCTCACTGCAACCTCTGCCTCCTGGGTTCAAGCAATTCTCCTGCCTCAGCCTCCCGAGTAGCTGGGACTACACAGGTGCCCACCACCATCCTGGCTAATTTTTTGTTGTTGTTGTATTTTTAGTAGAGACAGGGTATCACCATGTTGACCAGGTTGGTCTTGAACTTCTGACCTCAGGTGATTCACCCACCTTGGCCTCACAAAGTGCTGGGATTACAGGTGTGAGCCACCACACCCAGCCCTTTTCTTGCTTGTATGCCCTACATAATAAATGAAGAAAAAATAAAATTACTTTTATAGCTGCCCTTACAGACCTCACCTTTCTAGATCTTCTGTTTTTGCAACAAATCTTCATATAATCAAACAATGAAGTAAATGATCACAAAATTTTTCTAGAAATTCTCATTTGTTGTCTATCCTACCCTCCACCCCTAAATCTCTCAACCTGTGGTAAACTAGAAGAAGCAGGTTCTAGCTTTGGGCTCTTTTTAGAAGGAAAAAATATCTTCATTGGTAAAGAAAATGAGCTGAAATGCCCTTAATGATCCACTCAATAAATCTCCTATCTTCAGTTATATCACAAATGAGTGACACAAGGTCTCACTGTTTCTGGGTGAAAAGCAATGTGAAGAGTTAGTTTAAAACTGCTAAAAGAAGAAACAAGCAACATTTTAAAAGCCAATATTTGCAGAAGCCTTTATTTCAAATCTGTTTTGCCTAAAAGTAGCAGCCTGCTCTCCACCTCTTGGCTTCATGATCAAGTAGGGAGTGACACTTATGCCAGCTGTGCACAGAGTAAGGCAAAATGCTTTAATACCAGAATCCTCAAGTACTCCCAACACAGTGTGACAGGTCAGATACAGTTGTGAACATGGGTCAATGCAGTGAGATTCTGCACATGCCTTTCTGGAGAATATTCTCCAGGAATTAGAAAAGCCTTGAGGGATTACGTTTGGTACAGAGCTCTATTCTAACCACCAAGGCCTGCTGTTTCTGGGAGGCAGCTATAGTGCCACAAGAAAAAGACTGGACTGATCCAGTCTCAGCTCTGCTGCTTACTACTTGTGTGATCTTTCAAAAGTCCAACTCCATAAATGTCACTATCTACCTCAGAGTTTGAGGAAAGGTAAGGATTACATAATATACAGAAAAATGCTATGCAAATTTTTGGTATTGCTCTAGTTTACACATATACCTTCTGCTTACACACAAATGACTGGCATGTCCCCTCATGGCTTTAAAACCATCCTGTACCATACTATACCAATCACCCCCACCCCCCACCCGTGCCATACCTCACCCCACCACAGACCTATCCTTCCCTAACAAATATATCCTTCTCTATTTCTGCTATATTATCTGATGTGCCCCTGATCTTCATTTACTGAAAACATACTCAGGTAACCCTTGAACTGCAAAGCTTTGAGCTGCCTGGGTCCACTTATATACAGATTTTGCAGCCCTTCACATACATAGATTTCACATTTTTAGATCCATGTTTCAATCAAACATGGATCTAAAAAACAATATTCTTGAATGTGAAATCTGTATATGTGGAGGGCTAATTTTTTTAGAGACAGGGTCTCACTTTGCTACCCAGGCTGGAGTACAATAGTATGTGAACTCCTGGGCTCAAGAGATCCTCCCACTTTAGTCTTCCTAGCAGCTAGGACTACAGGCACATAACACAACACCCAGCTAATTTTTGTGGGGATTTTTGGTAGAGATAAGGTCTTGTTATATTGCCAGGCTAGTCTCAAACTCCAAGCCTCAAGTAATCCGTCTACCTTGGCCTCCAAGAGCGCTAAGACCACAGCTGCTTTTCTTACATGTGAGTTTCACAGGGTGACCGTGGAACTTGAGCATGCATGATTTGATTGTACACAGGCAGTCCTAGGAAATGACTATGTCCATGGGGACTGGTTTTAGGACTCCCCCAAACCAAAATCCATGAATGTGCAAATCCCTTATATAAAATGGTGTAGTATTTGCAAATAATCTACCCACATCCTCCCTTTAAATCCTATCTAGATTATTTATAATACCAAGTACAATGTAAATGCTATGGCAACAGTTGTAATATTATACTGTTTAGGGAATTAAAAAAAAAAGTCGGTATGTATATGTTCAGTACAGATGCAACCATCCATTTTCTTCCCCCCAAATATTTTCAATCCATAGATGGTTGAATCCAAGGTGTGGAACTCATGCATACAGACAGCCAACTGTATTCATCCTCCAAAACTTGGCTCAAATGTCACCTACTCACAGAAGCTGCGCTGAATCCTTCTGTGAAATTTGTTACATATCTCTGCTGATCTTTTTTGTTATTTGAGGTAGGATCTCACTCTGTCACCCAAGCTGGAGTGCAGTGGCATGATCACAGCTCACTGTAGCGTCAACCTCTCCAGCTCAGGTGATCCTCCCACCTCAGCCTCCAGAAGAGCTAGGACTACAGGCCCACACCACTACATCTGGCTAATTTTTGGTATTTTGTTTTGTAGACATGAGGTTCTGCCATGTCGCCCAAGCTGGTCTTCAACTTCTGGGCTCAAGTGATCCACCCACCTCAGCTTTCCAAAGTGCTGGAATTACAGGCATGCATGACATGCACTACAGCTCCTGGTCTGTTTCTTTTTTTTTTTTGAGATGGATCTTTGCTCTTGTCACCCATGGTGAAGTACAATGGTGCCATCCTGGCTCACTGCAACCCCTACCTCCTGGGTTCAAATGATTCTCCTGCCTCAGCCTCCCGAATAGCTGGGATTACAGGTATATACTACCACACCTGGCTAATTTTTGTATTTTTAGTAGAGAGTGGGTTTCACCATGTTGGCCAGGCTGGTCTCAAACTCCTGACCTCAGGTGATCTGCATGCCTCAGCCTCACAGTGTTGGGATTACAGGCATGAGCCACTGTGCCCAGTCTCTTGTCTGTTAATCTCTTAATGTGTTTCTTTTATACCTTGGTTATACCTTGGTTATAGAGACCTAGACCCACTACACTGTGTAAGTAACCAGTTATATACTAGTCTGACTGGAAAGTCCCAGAAGATGGGATGCTAAATCTCATTTACCTTCCTTGCCCCTTGTGCTTGGGAGTTGGAATATCAGCTTTGCAACTAAGTAGTAAATTCAATCTCTAGAGATCTGTAAAAGGAGATGGTTAATCTACAATTATTTTCCTAGAGTGAATTAATACAGAATCAGAGAGAAAGCTAAAATTCTATATCCATGTTTCAGAATCTTTACAATTTTTTTTTTTTTTTTTTTGAGAGACAGTTTCACTCTTGTCATCCAAACTGGAGTCCAAAGGCGTGATCTTGGCTCACTACAACCTCCACCTCCTAGATTCATGTGATTTTCCTGCCTCTGCCTCCCTAGTAACTGGGATTACAGGCGCCCACCACCACAACCAGCTAATTTTTTTATCTTTAGTAGAGTGGGTTTCACCATGTTGGCCAGGCTGGTATTGAATTCCTGATCTCAGGTAATCCAACTGCTCTGGCCTCCCAAAGTGTTGGAATTACGGGTGTGAGCCACTGTGCCTGGCCCTACAATTTTTATATTGGCCAACAGCTCTAGGTAGCTTTCACTGAATTCCTATTTAGACTGAATTTCACTATCATATACATGATAAAGCCAAGAATAAATTCTAAAACTGTTACCTTAAAATCCTATCTTGGACAATTTTTAATTATTGACTAAATATTCATGACTCTCTAATTTACTGATTTCACAAAAGCAGAAATTTCCATACCAACTTGCTATGTTTATATATATAGCTTCTTTTTATCCTGTGCCAACAACTACAGCAGTAGCAGTAGTAAACTAGTTGCATCTTGTACCAATACCACTGACTGACTCAGCAAGCTGTCAGGGTACAGGTTCTTAACTTGTGTAAATCTCCTCAAGGACAAGAACTCTATCACCTTTTTTTTTTTTTTTTTTGAGATGGAGTCTCGTTCTGTCACCCAGGCTGTAGTGCAGTGGCACAATCCCGGCTCACTGCAACCTCCGCCTCCCAGGTTCAAGCAATTCTCCTGCTTTAGCCTCCTGAGTAGCTGGGATTACAGGCATGTGCCACCATGCCTAATTTTTTTTTTTTAATTTTTAGTGGAGATGGGGTTTCACCATGTTGGCCAAGCTGGTCTCAAACTCCTGACCTCAAGTGATCCATCTGCCTTGGCCTCCCAAAGTGCTGGGATTTGAGGTGTGGGACACCATGCCCGGCCAAGAACTATGTCTTCTTAATACATCCTTCATATTCCCTGCATCTAGCTCCATCTTGCAAAAGGACAGCATTCAGCAATGTTTATGGAATTAATGGCCTTGAATTCCATTGTCTAGACACTGTGATCTCACTATATATTCTGGAAGAAAAAAAATGCCCTATTCAGCAACAGATATTAGTGGTAAAACGAATGCTAAGGCATGGATTTTCATAGCTATCCTCAAAGTTATATATTAACATATATTTCTAATAACAACTTATTTAAAAGCCCAAAAACATATGCCAATAAGCAATCCATAATAACTTTTTTATGACACTTGGGAGAATAAAGTTCCTGAATCTTCACTACTTCAAGAACATACCACAGATGAACTTACCATCATCTAAAGTGATGTCCTGCAGACCAATGGTTGCAAAGTTAGGCTCCTGATCTTCTGGTTCAGGTTTAATGCTCACAGTTGCCCCGTCAGGTGGAAATGAAGCTGGATCACACAAACTGTGACATATTAAAGATGAAGGTGCAGAAAGACCCCCCTGGCCTGTATTTTGTGCTTGAGTTGAGCGCTGTCCAGAATGCATTCTGGTGGCTGGAGACGGTGATGAGGCAGTTCCTGAGCTAGGAGACTGGTAAGACATGGACTGAAGCTGAGGAGATGGTGGCCCAGAAAGTGGTGAACTAGCCAAGGGATGAGAAGCTGCTGGGGAAGCTGTTGCAGCAGACCCTGAATGTGAAGGACCATATGTAACAGGTTGCAACTGAGAAGAAGGCTGACCTGTGATATGGTCAGCCACTGGAGAAGAAACAGATCTTTGTCCTGTATTTGAACAATGATATCCCATTGATTGCAGATGAGGCAGGGTATGCACAGAATGAGGTATATGTGCTAAGAGATGTCCTGTTGAGTCTGAATTTGAAGAATGAAATGGTATGGATGACAGTGGTTGACAGCCAAGATTCACTAAACTAGGAAGAGCTGCATCCTGCTGAAACAAAACTGAATCAAATTCTTGACTAGAGGCAGCATTAATAGGAAGACAAGTTGTTCCATTGTACACAATGTTAGTTTGCATAGGCTGATAGGAAGATCCCACAGGAGGTGTTGGTGTGACTTGAAAAGGCTGGTGTACAACTGAAGAAGGAATCGTATGCTGTTCTTTACTAGCACTCTCATCTCTACACTGCAACTGTGGCAGATGGGATGAGGTCACCATGGATGCATATGTTTGTGGGATGGAACAAACCAAACTTCTCTGTGTTGCCAGTACACTGTCGTGTGGGCACTCTGAATCAGAAGAAGGCCTCTGGGTCTGAGCAGGATGAGGCAGAGGCAAAGATGGAACTGAAGACAAATCAATCTCTTCTCTGTGCTCTTGCTTCATCAAAACTGAAAAGAAAATGATTAAAGCCAATATTAATATATAATACATAAAATAATTATGACAAGCCTTCATGCTAGGTTACACAACTACAGCATAAGCTGAGGGGCAAACTCAAATGCCTTTAAGGACAGCAGTTCATGTAAAATATCGTATGTGTATGTCTGTGTGTCTGTGTAGACATATATATATGTATAGATATACATGTTCTGCTTGTGTATAACATGAATATCTCTGGGAAGATGCACAAGAAACTATGCTAGAATTGCTGTTGGGAGGGAAAACTTGGTGACTAAGGGACAGAATTTGGAGGTTTACTTTTTAGTATATACTTTTTTATGGCTTTTGAATGTTTTTCACTGTGTATTTATTACCTATTCAAAAGTAAGTAACTAAAACAAAAAACAAAGCCCTATGGCCTAATAAAGTATTGAATTTGGGATCCCTGATCTCAAACCTACCAGTCACCTGGTTTTACATGTTGCATCATGTACCAGAAATCATGACTCTGACATACATAGAACTTCTGCTTTACAACAGTTCTCACATGCATCTCATTTGATCCTCTGCCATCATGTGGGGATCAAAAAAAGTACTAAAATCCACAAAATAACAAATTCTGCAAAGTTGAGAGATACAAAATCAACATACAAAAATAATAAGTTATACAACTTATTCTATAAACTAGTAATAAACAATCAAAAAGAAAATTCAGGAAATAATTTCTTTTGTTTTTTGGAGACAGGGTCTCACTCTGTCACCCAGGCTGCAGTGCAGTGGTGCAATCTTGGCTCACTGCAGCAAGTAATCTTCCCACCTCAGTCTCCTAAGTAGCTGGGATACAGGTGTGAGCCACCATACTCACATTCATTTTTCGTAGAGACAAAGTCTTACTGTGTTGCCTAGGCTGGTCTCAAACTCTCATGCTCAAGCAATCCTCCCATCTCAGCCTCCCAAAGTGCTGAGATTACAGGCATAAACCGCTGTGCATAGCTAACAATTTCATTTATAATAATGTCAAAAAAGAATAAAATACTAAGAAATGAATTTAACCATGGACAGCAAGACTCATAACTGAAAACTACAAAACACTGCTGGAAGAAATTAAAGCCCTAAATAAATGGAAAGACTTGCCTTCCAGGTTCGTGGATTGAAGACTTAATATTGCTAAGATGACAATACTCTCCAAAGTGATCTTTAAAAAAAAAAAAAAAGATGTCCTTGAGTCATACAAAGTGATCCTCAGATTCAATGTAACCCCTATCAAGTCTCAGTGACAGTTTTTGCAGAAATAGAAAAAAATCACTCTAAAATACACATGGAATCTTAAGAGATCCCAAATAGCCAACACAATCTTTTTTCCCATGTTTCCAAGGCATAAACCAGGAATAGACATGACCAAAAGCCAAGCTGAAATAAATAAGGCATTGATTTTTTCCCTGGCTTTTATGAGATGGGCAGCACCAACCAGACATCACTCTACCCAAATCAAGGACAACGAACATCATTATTACTTATTATTATGAAAGGAAGAACAGAGCTGGAAAAAATCAGGACTTCCTGATTTAAAAACTTACTACAAAGCTACAATAATTAAAAGTGTGTGCCAAGCATGGTGGCTTGTAATCCCAGCACTTTAGGAGGCCGAGGCAGGTGGTTCACAAGATCAGACGTCCGAGACCATCCTGGCCAACATGGTGAAACCCTGTCTCTACTAAAAACACAAAAAAATTAGCTGGGTGTGGTGGCACCTGTAACCCCAGCTACTCAGGAGGCTGAGGCAGGAGAATTGCTTGAACCCAGGAGGTGGAGGTTGCAGTGAGCCAAGATCACACCACTGCACTCCAGCCTGGGTGACAGAGTAAGACTCCGTCTCAAAAAACAAAACAAAACAAAAAACAGTATGATACTAACATAAGGATAGGCATGATCAATGGTATAGAGTCCAGAAATAAATCCTCACATATCTGGTCAACTAATCTTCAAAAACAAGAGTGCAAAAACCATTCAATAGGAAAATAACAGTCTTTTCAACAAATGATTCTGAGAAAACTAGATATCAACATGTAAAAGAATGAATTTGGGGCCGGGCACAGTAGCTCACGCCTGTAATCCCAGCACTTTAGGAGGTTTAGGCAGGCAGATCAGTTGAAGTCAGGAACTTGAGACCAGCCTGGCCAACAAGATGAAACCCTGTCTCTTTTGTTCTTTTATTTTTCCAAATTCCTGTTGATTTGAAAAAACATTGTCTCTACTAAAAATATAAAATTAGCCAGGCGTGGTGGCACACACCTGTAATCCCAGCTACTTGGGAGGCTGAGCAGGAGAATCGCTTGAACCCAGGAGGTAGAGGATGCAGTGAGCCGAGATCATGCCACTGCACTCCAGCCTGGGCAAAAAGAGCCAGACTTTGTCTCAGAAAAAAGAAAAAAAAAAGAATGAAGTTGAAAATCTACCTTAAATAATGTACAAAAATTAATTCAAAATGAATCAAAGACCTACATTTAAAAGCTGAAACTTACACTATCAAGAGAATAAAATGACAACTCAGAATGAAAAAAATTTGCAAATAATATACGTGAAAAGGGTTTAATATCCAGAATACACAAAGAATTCCTATTACAAGACTAGAGATTTGAATGTAACCCTGGGGTTGACCTATATGAAACGTGTGTGTGCACATACATGCGTGTGCACGCCTGTCTGACAGCAATTTTCTCTAAGATTGCTAATTACAAAGAATTAAACCTAGAGACCAAGCGTGGTGGCTCATGCCTGTAATCCCAGCACTTTGGGAGGCCAAGGCAAACAGATCACTTGAGGTCAGGAGTTTGAGACCAGCCTGGGCAACATGGTGAAAACCCGTCTCTACCAAAAATACAAAAATTAGCTGGGCGTGGTGGCATGCACCTGTAATCCCAGCTACCTGGGAGGCTGAGGTGGGAGGATCACTTGAGCTCAGAAGGCAGAGGCTGCAGTGAGCTGTGATTATGCCATTGTACTCCAGCCTGGGCAACAAAGCAAGACTCTGTCTCCAAAAAGTAAATTAAGTAAATAAACCTAGAAATGCCATCTGGTGACAGTCTATCTGAAAGTAAAGCCAACAAAAGAAAAGCAGTAGTTTAAGAGAAAGCCTAAGATAACACTGTTTGAGCTAAACCACGTCAGAGGCCAGCCTTCTCTTTTATTGTTTAAGCTAGTCTGATATGGATTTCTGTCATTTGCAACTGAAAGACCCTAATGTACTTCAAGACAATCTTTTTGTTTGTTTGTTCTGAGATGGAGTCTTGCTCTGTTGCCCAGCTGGAGTGCAGTGGTGCGATTTTGGCTCACTGCAACCTCTGCCACTCGGGTTCAAGCAATTCCCCTGCCTCATCCTCCCGAGTGGCTGGGACTACAGGCATGTGCCACCACACCTGGCTAATTTTTTTGTATTTTTTAGTAGAGACGGGGTTTCACCATGTTGGCCAGAATGGTTTTGATCTCCTGAACTCATGATCCACCCACCTCAGCCTCCCAAAGTGATAGGATTACAGGCGTGAGCCACCGAGCCCTGCCAAGACAATCTTTATGAGGTAATTTTTACTGTTTTATAGATGAGTATACTGAATAGAAAATTAAAGATTACTAAGATTTCACAACAGTAAAATGGCATCAAAAGGTCTTGAAGTAGAGGTGGGAAGATTGCTTGAGGCCAGGAGTTTGATATAAGCCTGGGCAATATAGCAAGATCCAACAGGGCATGGTGGCTCACACCTGTAATCTCAGTACTTTGGGAGCTTGAGGTGGGAAGACTGCTTGAGTCCAGGGTTTGAATCCTGAGCAACATGGCAAAACCCCATCTCTACAAAAAACACAAAAAGTAGCTGGGTGTGGTGCCACACACCTGTAGTCTCAGCCACTAGGGAGGCTTAAGGCTGACGGGGAAAAGGGGAGGACTGCTTGAGCCCAGGATTTTGAGACTAGCCTGGGCAATATCGTGAGTCTGTTTCATTTAAAAAACAAAAACAAAAACAAAAAAACCTTGGCCAGGCACAGTGGCTCATGCCTATAATCCCAGCATTTTGGGAGGCCCAGGTAGGTGGATCACTTGATGTCAGGAGTTTGAGATCAGACTCACCAACATGGTGAAACCCCGTCTCTATTAAAAATACAAAAATCAGCTGGGTGTGGTGGTGGATATCTGTAATCCCAGCTACCTGAGAGGCTGAGGCAGGAGAATCGCTTGAACCCAGGAGATGGAGGTTGCAGTGAGCCTAGATTGCGCCACTGCACTTCAGCATGGGTGGCAGATCAAGACTTTGTCTCAAAAATATAAAACAAAAATCCTGAACCCAGGCCTTTTAATCACTGAAGTATATTGTATTGCAAAGGAAGATTCCACTTGACAATTCCATCATGCTAGCAGAGGCTACAAATATCAACCATTATCCTTTATCACAAAAAAAGTAGTAAATCCATAATTTAGGATGAATCTACCTAAAAAAAAGTACTGCAAAGTAGGAATCAATTCATCTTGCTTTTTTTTTTTTTTTTGAGATGGAATTTTGCTCTTGTTACCCAGCCCAGGCTGGCGTGCAATGGCGCCATCTCGGCTCACTGCAACCTCCACCTCCTGGGTTCAGACAATTCTCCTGCCTCAGCCTCGTGAGTAGCTGGGATTACAGGCAGCACCACCATGCCCTGCTAATTTTTTGTATTTTTAGTAGAGACGGGGTTTCACCATATTGACCAGGATGGTCTCGATCTCTTGACCTCGTGGATCCACCCACCTCAGCCTCCCAAAGTGCTAGGATTATGCTTGTTTTACTTAATGTGCATTTCAAAAGAGAAAGCCATCAGTTAATTTATTAGGTGTCAATACAATTCATTTCATTGTTCCCTTGGGCAAAGAGTTCTAGTATACTTTCCTAAAAAATTATCTACTTAGCCTCCTATTGAAGTGCCATAACTCATTTTAAAAATTTTTCTGAGCTCACACGTCATTGTTCTTTCAGGTTTTAATATT